CTCGTTTACCTTTACCAAACTCCTCAGTTGGCTGAGACACATTAGTGGTAGGGTTCGGTCTCACAGTGTTTGATTGCGTTGATGCGGTCATTTGCGGCTGAGACAACGGCTGCGACATCGGCTGCGACGGCGGCACGGCTGCTTGTTCTTCTCCTGGCGTGGAAATATCTTGATTATCGGTGTTGACTTGAGGATTAGGTATGGTGACTCGTGGCGGTGAAGCTGAAACGTTTGTCGGCATAGTTGGTTGTGAAGATGCTCTTGGTGGGGATCTTGAGACTAGAAGCTTGGGAATTGATGATGACGCTGCCTTGTCGAGAGGTGGTGATGGTTGGGGCTGGTTGGTGTTGTTGCTCGGTGTTGAAGATGGTGGTAACTGATGACGACCGAATCCGGGACGTGGGGGTGAAGTTGAGAAAGGTCTTGGGTGAAGAAGTGGACTGTTGGAGCTGGTGTTGGTGGTGACTCGCTGAAGTGATCCTCGTGCTATGAGCTGGCTTGACGTTGGAACAAGTGATGAACGTGTGGTATGAGAACGAGGTGTTGCGGTGACGGTTGACTTGTTGCTAGGAAGAGTCGTAGATGGTGTTGATGTAGGTACTTGGGGTCTTGTAGCTGTTGATTGCTGCTGCATGGGATGATGATGAGCTTCTGTAGTTGCCTCTGGAGTGATGGCTGGTGATGGGTTTGATGGCGTAGTGGTGGGCTGATCCGGTTGGCGTTGAAATTGTGAGGTTGGTGTTGATATAGCTGGCTGGTTTGTGACTGTTGGCTGCTGCTCCTTTGGTGGTGATGGAACGGTGACTTGCTGCGGTGGATTGTCTTCATTTGATGGCTGAACTTCATCTCCACTTGGTTGAGTAGCTGCTGGTGGCACTGGCGTGGCACGGTTGGACTCGTTGACGACGGCTTGAGGGAGATCGATGATCGGTCCGCTATGGTCAGAATCGGTGTCATCTTCTTCCTCCTCTTGTGTTGTTTCCTCAGGTGCGCTTGCTGGTTCCTGTTGGATAGAGGGTAGAGAGGAGGAAGAGGAAAACTTATGCCAACCTGTAAGGGACATGTCTTCATAGAAGACAACATCCCTTGAAACCACTTCTCGCTTGGTGACAGGATCCCAAAGGACCCATCCCTTGCTCTCATTGCTCATGCCGATGAAGAGGCCCCAATGAGCTTTGCTGTCCAGCTTGAGTCTCTTTGCATCTGGAACACGGTATTGGGCCATGGAACCAAAAACACGAAGCATAGACAGATCTGGTTTAACTCCAAACCAAGCCTCATATGGCGTTACACCTTCCGGTAAGGGCCTTGTGGGTCTCCTGTTGCGAACATAAATTGCCATAGTGATTGCCTCACCCCACCAGAGCTTGTCAAGGCCTTTGAACTGAAGGAAAGTGGTAGCTATAGCCTGGATAGTGCGATGAAACCTCTCTGCCACTCCATTTTGCTGAGGACTATAGGGACAAGTGAACTGTTGTTTGATGCCCAATGCCAACAACTCCCCGTGAAACGCTTTCCCCATGTACTCACCTCCTCGATCCGACCTCAAGGTGAGTAACTTCTTCCCTGACTCTCTCTCAACAAGTGCTAGCCATTGCTTGAAACACTTGTGAACTTCATCCTTGGTGTTGATGAAAAAGGACCACGAGAAACGACTCTTGTCATCAATGAAAGACACCAAATATCTCTTACCGTTTCGAGTAGGGTCTCGCATGGGGCCGAAGACATCAGTGTGGACCAACTCTAGGAGGTCCCTTGACTGAGACTTAGAAGGGAAGAATGGCTTTCTAGCTAGTTTACCTTCCACACAAGATGGACATGGAACGGAAGAAAGGGACTTGACTGCACTTTCATTCAAACTCAATCCTTCCACGCTCTTGTGATTTACCAACTCTTTTAATGCTTGCACTCCCACGTGCCCCAAGCGTGCATGCCATACCTCAGCTTGGGAGATACTCCCTTTGTTGTTGACTTGATCGGTTGAAACAGCGGGAAGCGAGACAACGTCGTTCTTCGTGTTGCTAGCACCGCGCTTAATCTCCAACTTCATCTTGTAGAGCCGCCCGGTACGCTCGCCTTCAGCCACCAGATTTCCTGCACTGTCCCACACTTTGGCTTTCCCCCCTTGCAAGAGAACGGAGGCACCTTTCTCTTCGAGTTGTCCGGCTGAGAGCAAGTTTGCTCCCAAATCAGGAACAAACAAAGCTTTATTGACACAAAATGACTTACCATCCTTTTCGAACTCAAGCTTGCCGACTCCTTTGATTGGTACTTTGCCAAGATCAGCAAGAGTCACAGCTTTTGAGTCATATGAGGGCTGAAAATCCTTGAGAATGGACTGATAGGGAGTCATGGTTTCAGAGCAGCCACTATCAAGAATAAACTCCTCACTACTAGTAGAGAAAACGTGCATGCAAGTAGCAGCGTTAAAAAGGACAGGACCATCGGACTCTTTGGACTCATCTTGACTTGTAGAATGACTTGCTATATTTGCTATGGCTGCCTTACCTTTTTCAGATAGTAGCTGAGGTGGGGGGACCCAATTAGGAGGCTTCTTAGGACAAGCATACCACGGGTGACCCCACTCATGACAACAAAAACACTCAAAATTAAACTTTTTAGCATTCGGGGCTTGGCTGAAATTATTGACTCTTGGCATATTGACTCTTGCATTCCTAGGCTGGTATTGATTGGGAATCGAAGGCCTTGGCTGGACATAGTGACTGGACTTATAGGGAGGACTTGACTGAGGAAAACGAGAGGGTTTGTATGGGTTGGAAGGTGACTGAAATTTCGTACCGTAGTAGGGTTGAGGGCGGTTTGGGCTGAAATTTCCTTGCCTCTGGAATTGGTTGCCATATCTTGTGGCTGCTGCAGCACTCCACGCACCTTCGTCACTCCGCTTGTTCCGTGCAAGGTCTCGACTCTGCTGCTCGTTGACAAGGGCCTCAAAGATGAACGCACGACTCTTCATTGACTGCGGGAGCGCTTGTAGTGTTGCACGGAAAGTGTCCCACTCCGGTGTAAGGCCGGTGAGGATGACGGTCTTGAAAAGAGACTCTGGAATCTCCAAGCCGATCGCTGCTGCTTCCTCCAGCATTGCTTCAGCTCGTTGTAGGTAGGCTTGTGCTGATTCATCTTCTTCCATCTTCAGATTCATGAAGCGGCTCCACATCTCGGCTTGGCTGCTCTCGGATTTTGACTGGTGCATAGTCTTCAGTCGGCTCCATGCTTCCTCTGCACTGTTTGCCTTGGTAGAACAGGGCAGGAGCGACTTCAACTGCTGCTCGTGAATGCTATTGAGTAGGTAGAGGAAGGCCTCCTTGTTGCGTCGTTCGTAAAGTCGTTTTTCAGCTTCTGAAGCATCTGCTGCTGGTTTGGCTGCTTCTCCAGTGTAGTAAGGCCACAGATCCAGAAGGGATGCAGTGAGCTCAAACTGAGTTGCCCATGTTGGAAAATCTTTGCCGTTGAACTTGGGGAGGTGAAGCTTAGGCATGAAGGAGGTGAGTGGTGAGTATGTTGTTGAAGGACTGCCTGGTGCAACTGCTTCCACTAATCCAGTAGCTGCTGATGTTGACTCTGAAGCTCCTCCGGCTGGCTGGAGTGCAGGACCAGATGGATTGTCTCCCGCCATGTTCGTATGGTGCTAGGATAGGAACGTGGTGGGCTAGGTTGATCGAAACGACAAGCTCTGATACCAACTTGTAAAACAGAGTAGCTGTGACTACTGGAGGGCTGGAAACTTGGCTGGAAAGTCTTAGCAGGGCTGCTGGAATTGACTGGATGAGGTAAAACTTCACTATGTTCAAGATTAACTAGCCCACTAAAGCACAACTCTAGGCATCACAAACAAGACAGATTGAAAGCTCAAACTAGGCTGATAGACAATGTAACTTCCCTGGTAACTTGGGCACAATCTAGATTGGATGGACCTTGAGTGACTTTGAGTGCCACATGAGGTGCATGAATAAGAAAACTCTGGATATTTCTGTTGTAGCTGATTCTGATGTGTAGAAACCTGTAGAAACTGCCAACACTTCGGTTTGAAGGCAGCTTTGAACTATATCGAGTCTTCGGCTGAAGTCTGATTGGTGGTGGAACTTTCGAAGTACTTCCCGAAGCTCTGATTCATCGCCGACATTCCCCCTTGCTGCTGCTTGTGTGCAAAGGGCTGGGGCGGCAGAAACTCGATTCTCCAACAAGGTCCACTCTAATCACTGAGCCGCCAGCTAGCTCCCACCAGGCGGAGGTAAAAGTATCCGCGCATCGAGCGAATCGCCCGAACGTCATAGACGCGACGTCTTTGGGGGTCATGTGACTAAGCACCACCTTCCTCAGCCTTTACGTCACTGGGTCGTTTTGTCAAGTGCATTTGTTTCGACGATTCATGTCAAGACGACAGCAGAGATGTGACGACAGCTCGTAGATAAAAATATGAGCGGCGTGGTTTCTATCCGCGCGAACGAATTTCTCTCAAGAGCGATCTGCGCGTTATACCTAGTCGTAGCTGCTTTCGGAGTTGATAATGCATCCCGTTCGATAGAGACGTTTCAGGAACAGCACCTCCGAGGATGCAGCGGTAGAGGCGCAGTTTGTTTTTTCAGTTACCGCTGCGCCTCTCCCCTGAGACTATCCCATGACGGGTCCTCGCGGAGCTTCGCATTTTGTGAAATGCCACAATTTTCTGCACGCAAACCAACACAGGCGTGCGCTTGTGTCACGTCTTTTGTCCCCGTTATAAGCACGAGGCAGGGCAAAGGCGCGCTTGGTGACGCAGAGGGAGCAGCAGCAGGAGCAGGAGCCAGAGGAGCGGAGTTGACGACAGGAGAAGGAACGCAAGCAGCGGAAGGATCGGGAAAGGGACGAGTGGAGTGCAAGAGGATGGATGACGGAGCCTTTTGTCGAGAGAGTCGCAACAGGGCACGGCCTTGAGGCTAAAGCGACAGCTGTCCGGCGATGCCTCTGCCATGGCGATGGCGATGAAGCATTGCGGAACCCGCATGCGCTGCAACCGGCGGCGAGACGAGCGAGGAAACCGCCAAACAGCACAAGCGGCGTTGGTGGCGGCAGGGGGGAGCGGGAAGGAGGGCGAGGGGAGGGTGAAGGGAGGGCTGCTGATGGGGCTGACGGAGCCAATGGAGGAAGCCTTTGGCGCAACTGACAATGGGAGGGGCAGCTTAGCCAAGCTGAGAGCCTGTGAGGGGTGAATATGTGCACTACGTCGGTGAGGGGTCTCTCTCTGTTTGGTAGGGGCGTGTGTGAGAGTCACTCGTGGAAGCAGTGAAAAGGGGGTGAAGGGGGGAACTGTTGAAATGGGGGTTGAAGAGGGTTTGAAGGGACGGTGAGGGATGTGTGAGGTGGTACCAGTGGGTTGCAAGGGCACGGGGGCGGTTGACAAGCGGGATATTGCCAAGGTTTGAGTGGGCGGGGGCCAGGGAGATGCATGTAGGAGTTACTCGCGTCACTCGCCTTCAACGGTGAGAATGGGTTAGGAGTCACAGTGGAGGGAGGTGATGGGTAGGCCAGGTGAGTTGAGACGGTGGTTGCAGCCAAGGTGAGACTCGTTCCTCCATAACCCTCAACTAAATCCGCTCCACTCCCCGCAATTCCTAATATCCTCTTCCCTCCCAGCCCCCATTCACATCCATCCCCATCCCATCCATTCAGCTGCGCATTTGTGTATCCCACACCACACCACACCCCATTCTGACCCCTGACATCTGCCCCTGCCGCACATGCGCATTACTTTCCAAAGCACTACCCCTTCCCTCTCCCTTTTCCCGTTCCCTTAACTTCTTTCCCTGGCCCAGCTCCCAACCTGCTTCTTTCCCGTTGCCACCTTCCCGGCCCAGCTCCCAACCTGCTTCTCCTACGCAGATTCCTTCCCCTACAACGCAGTTTCCCACATCCATCCTCCCTGCACCCGTCTCACCAACGCACTGCACCCTCCTTTCCCCACCCCCTCTCCCTGGCTCCGCGCTTGCTTTTCCTACCGGCCCACAGGTATGCGCGCCTATACCACTGTTTTCTTTTTCCCTCTGTCCTCCCTTCCCCCTCCCCTCCAGCTCTGCACCGCTCCTGCTTCTCCTACACCCACGTCTTCCCCACTGCACTGCACGACCCCCGACAGTGCGGGCGCACTGTTCACCATGGCCCCATCCCCTCCCCTCACCATACCCAACCCCCCTTCCCCACCCTCCCAGCTCCGCACGTGCTTCTCTCAGGCCCAATTTTGGGCCACAAACTTCTGCTCCTATGGTGGCGGTGCACGGCCCAGCTCATGCGCTGTCCCTTCCTCTCCCCTTCCCACCTCCCCCAATCCTTCCCCCTTCACACCACGACCTCCACACCGCACCTGCCTCCACTGCACTGATTTCTGGCCCATAAATTCCCGTACCTGCAGCACGAGCGCACTGTTCACGGTCAACCTGCGGGCTGCTGGGGCGGCGAACTCTTCCTTGGCATCACGGGAAACCTGCACATGGTTCACTCCTTGCCTGTGCGCCCCTGCAACATGGGCGCACTCTTCACGGGCAACCCGCGGGCTGCTGAGGCTGCGCATTGTTCCCGACTCTCAGATTTCCATGATTGGCGTCACGGGGAGCCTGCACACAGTGCACTTCTTGTCTGTGCGCCCCTGCAGGTTCAATATGGCCGCACTGTTCACAAGGGGGAACCTGCGGGCTGCTGAGTGCACTCCTTGCCAAGGCTGCAACGCACCTTCCCTGGAGGAGCAGAGGGAGAAGGATGTTCGTTTTGAGTGAGTTAGTGGTAGTGCGCTGGGCTGTTTGATGCTTGTGAGTCACTAGGTGAAGCGAGGCTGGGCGGTCTTCTGGGTGCCTCGTGGCAGGTTTCTTCCTCACGGACGAGCAGAGGTTGAAGGAGGTGGGTGTGTGGTGACAGGGAAGTGGGCTAGTTATGGGTCACCAGCAGGTCAGTAGTAGCGAGGCTGGTGCTGGTAGTCTGCTTCATGAAAATGGATGTATGTGCTGAGAGGGGCGTGGGCTGCCTGTGGGTCAGTGGCAGGTCAATACCAGGTCAATGGGAGGTCAGTGGTTGACAGGTCAGTTGCAGGTCAATAGAAATTTCAACAACTCTCAGGTCAGGTCAGTATCAGGTCAGTGTCAGGTCAGTTTCAAGTCAGTGTCAGGTCAGTTTCAAGTCAGTGTGAGGTCAGTTTTAGAGTGTCAGGTCAGTTTCAAGTCAGTGTCAGGGAGGTCTCAGGGAGGTCTCAGCTTCTTGCCTGTCACTCGCTTCCCTCTTCCCAGATAGGTGGTGAGCAGAGGGCCATGGGAGTGGGGCGGATGACAAGGCAGTGAGGCGGAGTGGGGGATAGGGCAGTGAGCTGATGGGTACAAAGGGGAAGTGAGGAGGGTTGTGGTTACGCTCTCCCCAACCTACCTCTTCTGGGCCCCTGGGCTGCCACGGTGGTGAGTTAGGGGGCGGGTGGTAAAGGATGGGTGATGGATGGTGGATGGTGGATGGTGGATGGTGGATGGTGGATGGTGGATGGTGGATGATGGATGGTGGATGGTGGATGGTGGATGGTGGATGGTGGATGATGGATGGTGGATGGTGGATGGTGGATGGTGGATGGTGGATGGTGGGGCACATATGGCGCAGGTGGGTGTGGCACACATGGGTGCCGACACCCACCTGCCCTACCATTATCCTTCTAACCCCAACAAGCCCTATGTGGTAGGTGCAAGGCCAGATCGCCTCCCCTGTAAGAGAGGTGTGGCCTAAAAGCGATTTGCGCTTACGCGATTTTTCAGGAGTGTGCTCTGCTCTGCCAGGTCTTACCATTCAGCTTTCTTGCTTTTCCACTTCCCCACGTTCCCTGCCTTGCTTGCCATCACGTCTCCCTCTCTGCATGACCTATTTAGCAGGTGCAAGGCCAAAATCACCACTCTTATGACGTCTCCCGCTGAGGGCTTGGCGGGTTCTCGGGCACTGTGCTCTGCCTCTTATGACCACTCACGTATCCTTGCCCCCCGCAACAGCTAGGAGCTCCCTTCACTCAGTTATGGAGATTTGCGCGTGCATGGACGTTGAGTGAGTGGCAGTCTGCTGCTGCTGTTCGCAAAGATATCTGAACGTCACAAGTCTTCCTTCTTTTCCCCAAAAGTGGCGGCATGTTCCCCTTGTTATAACTGACGGTTTTCTGGACAAGAACCTCGTTTCAGATTGCATCTGCTGGATGTGTGTTGATTTGGTTTGTCTGGTTTTAAAAATTCAGAGTGGCCCATACATTCACCCCTGTCCTCCGACTTATGCCATCCATTCCAAGAAGCAGAGGACCTCCAAAGGTATACCAGTATCTCCTGAATATTCTTCAGATGCTATTGTCACTGGTGCAGATCTTGACATGCTGTGTATTTTCTAGAATCAATGCTATACAAACAACATCCCATCATGCACAGTACTACAGTACCCTTGTTCTCTATTCTCTCATTCTACTCTTGCACCCGGAGCCAGGCAGTCCAGTCTCAACTCATGCAATTGGTCTCACCCTAAAAGCAATGCACCTGCTACTGTGCAACTGCACAGCACGAGCCACAAAACCATTCTCCCAACTCTCTGTAAGATGCAAGTTGAGCGTGCACAACCACCATTCCATGCCTCACTCCTCCGTATGCATGCCTCCCCTCATTCTTCCCCTCATGCCTCCCCCCTGCCTCCACGCCTCTCCTCAGTCTCCCCTAGACAGTCAGTCATCTCCTCCCTCACCTCACCCGACCTGCCTATCCGCTTGCATAGATCATCTTTCATAAGTTTACCCCCTGCAGAAGGCCAGAGATGTGCCAGCCTAGTAAGGGCAGTCAGCTGCTGCAGTCCATCGTCCGTGACTGCCGTGCCATCCAGAGAAAGTTTCGCAAGTCCTGTCAGCCTCCCCACATGCGTCATGCCAGCATCTGTCACACCCTTGCACCCTGAAATCCCCAGAACTTTGAGAGAAGAAAGGCAAGTCAAGTGCGATAGACCAGCATCGGTCACCTTGGTCCCATGGAGATAGAGGTACTTCAGACTGGCCACGGACCCAATGCCTTCCAAGGCACTGTCCGAGGCGTCTGTCGATTTCAGGTCTAGCACCTCCAGCCGTGGCAGCCTGTAGAGGTGTTTGATGCCCACAGCACTGAAGCCTGAGCTAGAGGTCAAGTCAAATTTCTTCAGATGCGACATTGTGGACACAAGGTGAAGGATGACGTCTGAGAGGCCGTTGAGATAGCTCAGGTTCAGATTGGTCTCTTCTGATGCTGACTTATAGCCTGGAGAAATGAGGGGGTGGAGAGGGCATTCATGACAGGGTTTATTGCAGTGAAAAGAAAGCAATATCACGCAATCGCATGTCAATGAAACACATTTACACACCCTCCAAAAGCTAACTCACTGCGCCCACTCACCTCCAAAGCTTTCTTCCGATCGCCTTCACTGCGCTTGATTTCCACCTCAATATTCATCTTCAGATCTTGTGTCATCTGCCATTCCTTGCATGCTGCCAAGTCCTCCATGGCACGTGGCCAATTCAGCTCCTGCAACTCCCTCCTCCTCTCCTCCCTCTCCCTTGCCAACTCTGCCCTCATTTCATCGTCTAGCTTACGAGCCTCCTCTCTCAGCTGACTCGAATCCGATTCTCTTCTCCTTTCAGCCATATCACATTTCTCTCTCAGATTGCTCAAGCCCTCTGCCCGTCTTCTCTCAGCCTTCTCCAACTGAGATTTCATTAGGTCCTCCAATTCCTCCCTCAAACCTATCAGCTCCCTCATATCCTCCGCTCTTCGCATCTCAGCCTCCTCCAAACGCCTCTTCCTCTCTGCCACTCGTCTCCTCTCAGCCTCCTCCAGCTCCCTCCTTGTATCTTCCAGCTGCACGCCAAACGCTCTCATTCTCATCTCCATCTCCTCTTTTCACTTGTGGCCTCCGCCCATTCTTGCGGTGACTGTCCTAACTGCCGCACTTGCTCTCTGCATCCCTGAATACGCATGCTTCCTACACATTGCAGCCAAGCATGCATATGGGTGGGAGCAGGTAGATGGAGAAAATGGAGTGGAGTGGATCACTGGACAAGAATATGAGGGAAGCATAGTGAAATCAGCTCTAGGAAGCATGGGAGATGCGAGGGAAGCTGCTGAGTATGTTGTCAAAGCAACAAGGCCATGCAATTGGACGAGCATTATGACACACAAAGGAGACATGGGGAGCAAGGGAAACATGCCAGGTTCAGAAACTACAGAAGCACATGAGACGAGAACAAGGGTCAGAGAGCATGAGTTGAGGATAATACTAAGCAAAAGCGCTTTAACATTGTTAGATCCACAAGACATGTTGATGCGTGAGGTGAGGACATGGCGATGCACGATACAGGAGGATGCAATTGACCATGATGGGGTTGGGCACGCTCACATGGCGTTGTGCAGTCCACGTGGCTGCAGCATGGTGAGGACGAGAGGGAAAGTGGAGGAGAGAGAAGGATGAGAGACAGGAGAGCGACGTACAGCAGCATGGAAAGCAGGAGTGAGCGCACAAAGGTCAGGTGGTGCAATAGAAGTCAGAGGGCAAAAGATGAGCGCAAAGACAAGCTACAGTAGTGAGGGTAGAGCGCATGGTATGGCATACCAGGAGGCACTTACTTGCACTCTTCAGCTTCATCAGCCCAGCCGTCACAGCCAAGCCCTGCTGACGCACCCATGCTCTGACGTTCGTATGGGTCACGTCTTTCCACCACAGCAGTATCACGAGACCAGAGATTGAAATGTACAGAACGAGTAGATGACTTGCACTCGGGACCTGTGGATGTGAAACAACAAGGGCGAAATCAGTGACACATGAGCACCCACAAGGAATCCAGACAGAATGCTTGATTTGTTGCAGCGAGGAGGAACCACAGAAGCGTCGGTTAACCCAGCAGCACGCACCAGGGCGTGGAGGGAGTGAAGAGGCACGCTGAGCGCAAGGGCATGCTGAGTAGAGGCGGTGATGGCGTGGGCGTGAGTAGAAGATGCGCTCGTGGCATTCTCACACGTGGCATTGGAATTGGCCTGAGAGGCAGTCAACACACGCATACATGCACGCACGCAAAGGTAGACATGAGCATGCATACACACCCATGTAGGCACAGCACACATTCAGCACACAAAGGTTCACTGCAACTACAATTTTCCCTGCTGACCTTGCGTAGCTTCTATCTGCTTCTCTCAACACTCCCTGCGCCTGCCCCTAAATTTGTCGCATCGATTGCGCATGTGGGGTTGACTACTGTGGGCGAGGGGGGAAACTCTTACTGCGAGGCCCCACCACCGTTCCCGCTCCTTGTCCAACGCGACAGATGATGAGCGCACATTGCGGAGGCAGCAGCACGCAGACCAGCGCAGGTAACAGGGATTGCTCGAGGGCTGCGCGGGGCGTTCCTGCCACGTGTAAATTCCAGCAAGCGGCGGGTAGTCTCAGCAGCGGAGTTCACGGTGTGGGATGCGGTGAAGAGGTTGGATGACAGGTGCACGCGCACGACTTCCAAGTGCCACACACGCCGAGCACACGCTGCTGCTGGTGTAGGAATCGTGAACTGCCAGCTCCGCCCTTCCCCCGTGGAAGACGGCAAGCACCTGCGATATAGTGGGGACCCGGGGGGGGCAGGAAAGGGGGAGCAAGGGGACGGGGGAGAAGGCATCAGAATGTGACCAATGATACGAACGTGACAAGGATGCGAGCAGAAAGGGGGTTATCCTGGCAAAACTTGGCTTGACCCACGTGACACACCTTGGCTCGCATTGCTCGCTCCACCAACCATGTTCTCCTCCCCCTCGGCCTCCCCACCCTACTTCCCCTCCTCACCCATCTCCCTCTCCTCCCCCAGAGAGACGCACACCCTAGGCCAGACACACACCCTAGGCCAGGCGCACAGGTTACGTTAGCATTCAGGCTTCATCAGTCATACAGGCTAGGTAAAGCATTCAGAATACGTGGGCAGACAGGTTAGGTTAGGTCAGAGATAGAGGATCGGTTATGCATGGCATACATGTTAGGTTAAGCACGCACGCGTTACGACAGATCCCTCGTTCCTCGCTCCCACGCCTCCCTCCCGGCTGCCTCCACCCACTCGCCGCTGACTGGTTTCGCCACCACTGCTGCTGCTGTTGCAGCCCGTGGCTCTGCCATGCTAGCTCGCTGTGTGTCGCAGCGATGAGCGGAGCTCTCATGGCTAGAGAAGGTCAGTGCTGTTGGTGTGGGAAGGGGAAAGGAAGGAGTGGGCGAGAGCTGACGAGAGTGGGGGAGGTGGCAACGTGGTACTTGGGGCGCTCTGCATAGTAAGGAGGAGGGAGTGGAAGCTGGTAAATACATGTTGTGTCGATATTTATTTTTACATCTGGAAACTGGGAAGGGCATGGATCAGCTAACGCCGATCACCCGAGGTCACATCTACAGCTTCTGCTGCCTCCCTCATCGCCTGCGTGCACCCACTTGTCGCATAAAGGCACTCTCGCGGCTCTACCAGGCTCTGTGACACAGAGCACCTCATGACGAGTTCATGGAAGGTTCCGCTGGCGCGGGACGGGGAGGCGATTTGGGAGGAGAGGGCGAAAGGAAGGGGCGCAGTTCAGACGAGGAGGGAGGGGACGGCATCTGATGGCGCTGCACGCATGGCACACTGGCCTACGCGCTCAAAACCAATCTGCTTTGGCAGCACACTAGCACCAAAGCCGCCACTCTGGGCGCCGATAGGAGATGGTCCCAATGGAAGGACGGAGAGCGGCGATCACCGTGCATCTGGCATTCTGGCGAAGGTGCATTCCTTCCTCGGTTTCCCTCACCTTGCACCCCTGCTGCCATTGGGAGCTCGTCAGCTGCTAGACGTCAGCTGAGAGGGCTCCGCCTTTTCCACGCACTGGTAGGATGCATCCTCCCACGGAACATGCGGAATGAGACGCTCGGGAAAGTAGTGGTCAGATTCATTCTGCCGCGTCAACAAACGAGCGATGACGCCTGCATTCCGCCTGCTGCCTCGGCGCAGCGGTCCACCCACAGCGAATGCGGCGAGTGCGGTGAGCGCTAGAAAGCTTGAGTGCTGAGAGAGGCAGTGATGAAGTTGCTGGCGCGCGCGAAAACAGCGGAACGAAAAGATGCTCGCATTTACGATTGTCGCCCTCTAACCACGCAATGGCTCCTATCGCAACTGTGATACTTGGGTCCACGGTTTGTTGAAATGTCGATCGCCACTCCCCATTTTTTTAATTTCCTATCGGCTAAGCGGACTCTTTCTCACATCGGTTTTTAAACGCGCGACCCGATCAGTTGCTGCACGAGTGCCACTCGCTCTGACAGAAGGCAAGCGATGGCAGGATAGATCTGGGAAACGGGATGCGGAAGTGCTGAGAGCAGCGAACTTGGCTAAAAGAATTCGAGTCAGTTGACACATGATGCACTCGAGTTGTATACGTATTGGCTCAAAAGGTAGACTTCCATTGAAGTGTTGTTTCGACTATGAAGAAAGTGAAACACGGTTTGCATTTTTTCTCGATGTAACACCATGTTACCAAAATTTCCAGTGTACAATTGATGCCCAACCAGTACACGCGGATTTGCCCTGCGCTGGATGGAAACGCTGCACCCGAGGTTGTTTCCCCAGCCTGTTGCTCCCACGTTATAAGCGCGGCGCGTGGTTATCAACCAATAGTAACGAACAGACCGAGGTCAAGCAGAAGAGACTGAAGTCAAATAAGGTAACAGATCTTGTTTATAAGCACCTGCGAATCCTTCTTAGCTAGCTGCGAATTGACGAAACTTATGCGAATCGCTCGTTACGGCTTATACGCCCCCTTCACAAGGCAACCGGGAGGGGCTCAAACAGGCATCAATTGTAGCGACCTTTCTCGAACACCACTCCTGCTTTCGCCAGTAGACTCGAAGGAGTGAGAAATTTGATGAGGCGACAATCTCGAGGTGGCAACTCCAAAAAGTTGAAAGTCGCAGCTGAATTCTCTCCAAGTGTGCAATTCCGTCTCGAGCTCTCCACAGTCTCATTTCCAGATTCCCCGATTGTCGACCTCAAGGGGTCTTGCAGTTCAGGAGCGATTTCTTGGGCATCACTCCTGTGGACCCTCAGGATCTTAGGTTCCTACGGAGAGTTGTCCATCACGAAGAACTCGAGCGGTTGTTAGAAACAACGGGAACCGCTCAAAGTAGCCGCGAGTTGTCGACCTTGATCTTACATTCGGCTCGTCGGATGTTCACCATGGCGTGTGCTGTTCCTTCATCCCCGTCAGTCATGTCGATCAGCAGCTTAGAATACACGCAGATCCGTCTTCGTCCTTGCAGATCTATAAGAACCACGTGAATCCATTCAATTTCGGATTCGGCCCATTTCCTTCATGGACAAGCCCGTACCAGCTCGACATCGGCCCATTGAATCATTCCGCATGGAAAGCCTTAGTCAGGGCCCGAACCTCTAACCGGAGCGTTGCGATCAGATGCAGCGCAGACAACGCTTCCATGCCATCGGACTCTCCAGAAGCGGCGGTTCCAAACCCTAGATTACAGCCGACGGCCCATGAGAATCCGACCGTTGAGACGGAGTTTAAGGCTCTTGGGGCGGGGGAGGAGGAGGTGGGAACGGTTAGAGAAAGGGAGGAGAGCGTAAAAATTGTTGAGGAAAAGCAGGGGAGAACCAAGGAAGTTGGGGGTAAGAGGCGTGGGAGGAGAGCAGGCAAAGCGAATGCAAGAAGCGACGGAAGCGGGAGTAAGAGCAGAGAAGAGGAAGGATCCGAGGAGGAGGAGGAGGCAGTGGCAGTGATTGCTCAGGTATTGATGGAAAAGTTCGGACCTCAGATTGTGAGAGAGGAGGTGGAGGAGGGGGCTGGGTTTGGAGCGATTGAGGGGGAAGAGGAGGTGGAGAGAGGAGAAGAGGAAGCAGAAACAGAAGGGAGTGAGGAGGGTTCATCAGGCACCACATCTCGCTCCACACGTACTACCTCTCGTTCCTCCCTTCGCTCCTTCTACCGCTTCTTCTCCTCCCACCTCGGTATCTCCTCCCCTAGCTCTGTAGCTTCTCTTCTCGCCTCCAACCCCCAACTCCTCCGCTCCAATCCCACCAATGACTTCCTGCCACGTGTCCGTCTCCTCCAATCGTACGGCGTATCACATACCGACATCGTCCGCATCACTGCGAAAGGAGAACCTGGCTCCGAGTCTCCCTTCCACGGATTCAAAACAGGCTTGAGTTTCTTTTGGCTCAAGGCGTCCGCCGAAGCAGATTGGGCTTGGTCCTCCGACGTGGATCGAGCTTACTCTGTGAGGCACGTTCGACGAACCTGGACATTCTGGTGGAGAGAGCAGGGGTTCCTGTGGACAAGCTGGGTTTGGTTATAGAGAAGTGTCCGGACATCTTGACTCGGAGCAAAGAGTCGGTGAATATTCAGCTTGAGACGTTATTACCTTATTTGCAAGCGAGATCTGGAGGGAAGGTAGAATCAGATAGCACCAGCACAACCCTCCTTAAGCAGCAACTAGATGAGCCGCAGTCCTTGATTTCCGCAGACACCCCCTCCATTGTGACCTCTACACTTTGGTGGGCCCCCACCATCTTCAATCTCAGTAGAGACACTCTTTTAGCTAAGCTCCAGTTCTTGGTGGGGTTGGTGGGGGAGGAGGCAACAGGAAGAGTGGTGAGGAGCTACCCGCATGTTCTGGTACTATCGAAGGAGAACGTGCAAGGCAAGGTGGCGTTATTGGCTGATTTGATTGGCCAAGAGAATGCAGTGCGCGCGGTGACACTATTTCCTTCGCTATTATCTTCTAGTAAAGATGGCATGAGGGAAAGTTTCAGAGAGCTTGTGCGAGAAGTGGAAGAGGCATTGGAGAGCAGTGGAGGAGAGGGAAGTGGGCCGCTAAGGTTGGGGGGAGGTGACTGTGTGGAAGAGGAGAATAAGTATGGAGCACAAGCCGGCAAGAGACACAGGGCTTGTAGGTTAGTTGTGGATTTGGTGGTGAGGTTCCCGCAGGCTATCTACATCAGTTGGGAAGCAAACTTGAAAAATAAGGTGGAGTACTTAAAGCGGGACATGGGGCTGTCCATAGTAGAGATGCTTGCCTTTCCGCAATTCGTTACCTACAGCTTGGATCGGCGAATCAGACCGCGACATGTGGCATTGTTGCGAACGGGCTATGAGGTTGTGGCACGCGAGATGGCTATTCGGAGGAGTGGTGGCAAGAGGGATGTTTCAAGAGGGAAAGAGAGGAGCATGCTGGGTTCTGTGTCTGATGAAGTGGAGGGGGTAGAGAGGATTGAATGGGGAGCGGAAGAAGGGAAGAGTGGGCCGTTGTTTAGGGTTGTAGCAGCCAGTGATGAGCCAGGGGAGAGAGTAGTTACAGAGCGGCAGCTTCTGGAATTGGAGCGGTCAAAGAAAATGGTGTGCTTGCAGCAGTTTCTCCACTGTACAGACAAGCATTTTGAGGAGAAGTTTGGGGTCACACTGTAGGGCTGGTGCTGATATTCGCTTCTTCGGCTTTCAATGTGCCCCGGGCCTAAGAGTCCATGCCTGAGTGTGAGGGTGTGCGCCCATGCCTGAGTGTGAGGGTGTGTGCCCATGCCTGCGTGTGAGGGTGTGTGCCCATGCCTGGGGGTGAGGGTGTGTGCCCATGCCTGAGTGTGAGGGTGTGTGCCCATGCCTGAGTGTGAGGGTGTGTGCCCATGCCTGAGTGTGAGGGTGTGTGCCCATGCCTGAGTGTGAGGGTGTGTGCCCATGCCTGCGTGTGAGGGTGTGTGCCCATGCCTGGGGGTGAGGGTGTGTGCCCATGCCTAAGTGTGAGGGTGTGTGCCCATGCCTGAGTGTGAGGGTGTGTGCCCATGCCTGAGTGTGAGGGTGTGTGCCCATGCCTGAGTGTGAGGGTGTGTGCCCATGCCTGAGTGTGAGGGTGTGTGCCCATGCCTGAGTGTGAGGGTGTGTGCCCATGCCTGAGTGTGAGGGTGTGTGCCCATGCCTGAGTGTGATAGTGTGTGCCCATGCCTGAGTGTGATAGTGTGTGCCCATGCCTTAGTGTGATAGTGTGTGCCCATGCCTGAGTGTGATAGTGTGTGCCCATGCCTGAGTGTGATAGTGTGTGCCCATGCCTGAGTGTGATAGTTTGTGCCCATGCCTGAGTGTGATAGTGTGTGCCCATGCCTGAGTGTGATAGTTTGTGCGCATGCCTGAGTGTGATAGTGTGTGCCCATGCCTGAGTGTGATAGTTTGTGCCCATGCCTGAGTGTGATAGTGTGTGCGCATGTCTGAGTGTGATAGTGTGTGCCCATGCCTGAGTGTGATAGTTTGTGCCCATGCCTGAGTGTGATAGTGTGTGCCCATGCCTGAGTGTGATAGTTTGTGCCCATGCCTGAGTGTGATAGTGTGTGCCCATGCCTGAGTGTGATAGTGTGTGCGCATGCCTGAGTGTGATAGTGTGTGCGCATGCCTGAGTGTGATAGTGTGTGCCCATGCCTGAGTGTGATAGTGTGTGCGCATGCCTGAGTGTGATAGTGTGTGCGCATGCCTGAGTGTGATAGTGTGTGCGCATGCCTGACTGTGATAGTGTGTGCCCATGCCTGAGTGTGATAGTGTGTGCCCATGCCTGAGTGTGATAGTGTGTGCCCATGCCTGAGTGTGATAGTGTGTGCCCATGCCTGAGTGTGATAGTGTGTGCCCATGCCTGAGTGTGATAGTGTGTGCCCATGCCTGAGTGTGATAGTGTGTGCGCATGCCTGAGTGTGATAGTGTGTGCGCATGCCTGAGTGTGATAGTGTGTGCCCATGCCTGAGTGTGATAGTGTGTGCGCATGCCTGAGTGTGATAGTGTGTGCGCATGCCTGAGTGTGATAGTGTGTGCGCATGCCTGAGTGTGATAGTGTGTGCCCATGCCTGAGTGTGATAGTGTGTGCCCATGCGTGAGTGTGATAGTGTGTGCCCATGCCTGAGTGTGATAGTGTGTGCCCATGCCTGAGTGTGATAGTGTGTGCCCATGCCTGTGTGTGATAGTGTGTGCCCATGCCTGAGTGTGATAGTGTGTGCCCATGCCTGAGTGTGATAGTGTGTGCCCATGCCTGAGTGTGATAGTGTGTGCCCATGCCTGAGTGTGAGGGTGTGTGCCAAGTCCGTGCCTCCACCCTGTGAATCTCAATCTGTCAGGCGGCCAGGTTGTTGTGCCACAGCATTGATGCTGGGCCCTTTGTTGCTGCCAGATGGGAACAGAGGGGGTGTGGCTGCTACAGCTGCCTCTGCTACAGCTGCCTCTGCTACAGCTGCCTCTGCTACAGCTGCCACGGCCCTCCCCATGCGGGACCTGCTACAGCTGTTCCTGTGGGTGGCTGGCAGTGTCACCGGCTGTAGCAGAGGAGCTGCTGTTCAGAGGGCTGCTGCTCGCGGGCCTGCAAGAGAGGCTTGGTAGGTGAGAGGCTCGGAAGGAGGTTTGGCAAGGCTGCACCTCCACCTGCTGCCTTTTTTCTGGGCTTGGTAATTTTCACACCTCCCCAAGCACACACACTTACGCAGCAATTCAATTCCACTTTCTCCCTTGCCTGTCATGTCATGATACCCAGAACTGAAATCAATGTAAGTCAGCTTGAATTGTGCTAGTCTAGTTAAATTCAGCAGGCCAGGTATTGTTTGACTAACTTCCCTTCCTGCGCTATCCCCTTCTTGCCTCTTACTCCCTCAGGATCGGCACTGCCATGCTGTCGTTGCCCTCTCCCTTTCACTCCTCTTCCCCAACATGGCCCTTGGGATTGCCGCCGGCCTGCTCATAGTTTACCCAAATAACGTGCTGCCAGCAGTCACCCTGCATACCACTTACAATGCATCAGCCCTTTTCACTATGCACTCATGGCTATGGCTGCTGTTTCTCTTTAGCAAGGAAGTGCTAGTCGTCTTGTGGATGTCTTTCAATACGTTCTGGAGCACATTGCACAGAAATAGTTGTACCGTATGGCCCCGGATATAAGCGCAGACCTATTATAAGCGCATGCGCTTGTACCGTAAGCCCTCGGATAGAAGCGCAGGCCTCGGATAAGCGCTGGCGCTTATAAAAGGATGACGGCGCTTATATCCGGTCCTCGATTATAAGCCCACCCCCTGAAAAAAGATGATTTATTATAAGCGCATATTGGTTTTTCACTTGAAAACATGTCGAAATACAGAAACGAATTTCACATTATCAGGCAAACGAACTACAATTTTGATTTCCCACACTCTGATCTCACTTTTTGCGCGTCTAGTCAGCATGTGCTGTCATTCTGTCAGTATGAGTTGGCAGGGAGTCACTCACTGCCAAGCTGCACGAGAATCAGATTCGCGACCCTATATGTTCTCGACTCGATTACAATCGGCTGAACGGGATCTACAGTTTGGTGTAAAACAAATAGAAATTCATATTTGCCATTTTATAAACGCCGGCGCTTATAAATTTCCTCAATTAGAAGCGCACCCCCTAAAAAACAGTGTTTTTTTATACCCCCAGGGGCGCTTCTATCCGGGGGCTGACGGTATCTGGAGCAATGCGCTTATGGCCGATCCTCATTTATAAGCGCACCCCCTATAAAACCATGACATATTATAAGCGCATGTATAAATTTATTTCTAAATCCTGATAAACACAGTAACGAAATTTAGTTTTGCAGCGAGTCACATCCATTTCTTACATTGTTTGACTCTCGCGAGGGTCTCACTGGCTTTGAGTCCAGTTACGAGCAAAGGCACGCCTAGGTGAGAGTTCCTGCTGCCAGACCCCCTTGGGTGGGTTGAGTAGAGACTGGAAGTGCCCCATGGCAATCTGAAAGGCCAGGCGCAGCCTGCGACATGCCACGTTGAAGAGAACCTTCCTGAAAAGTGGGGAGATGCACGAGCATGCGGGATAGGGGAGTTGGCACATGAAACCTGACATGGGTACAGTGCTCTTCAAGTCGACTCAAAGCTCGCCTCATTTCCATCAGCGGGGCTACATGAGTTAGCACATGGGAACCGGCAAGGGTACATTGAGTCAAAACCGGGCAGAAATGCAATCTTACTTATGCTTGACAACTTCTGTTAAAGCAAGGGTGCACATTCATGGGGGTGGTTTTTGAGGGCATTGTGGGTGTACACCCTCCGACGCTTGCTGATTCGCTGGCGAACTGGCTTGGGGTACGGAAAGCTGGGGTGAGGATTTCACCCAAGGCTGCGAAGTCAACCTATTTCGTATGAAGGTTTGCTTGGAGAGAAAACGCGGAAAGGGCGGAAATCTAGCAGGGAGCGCAAACAACCAAGCGATAAACCTCGTTGTCACACTCCCAACCACAAACCTGGTAACCATCCAGAGGCAAGTGATAAACCTTTGTCTCCACCCCCCTCAATCTGCACCCTTGCTTTAATACACGTACCTATGCTTGTCTGACAACTGTGTGTGAGAGCATGTGCACGGACAAACTACCTAAAAGTAACAAAGTGGTTTAAATGACTTGCTTATGCCCGTCTGACATCACAGCCTCACAGATCGGGACATGTCTTGCCGCCCGGTGAAGGTCAGGGAGAGATTTGAGAGCTTCACTGCGGTGTGGGTGTAGACCATCAATGCTGCTCCAATCACCTGTGGACACGTGTGCAGATGATGGGAGGAAGGGGGAACAGGAAGGTGGGAAGTCCGGGGAGGGGGAAAGATACGGGTTGAGGAACGAGGATCTAAACACAAGGTGGGGAAAGGGAGGTTTGGAATCATGGTTGGGTGAAGCGAGGTTTGGAAACAGGGTTGGTTGAAGCGAGGTTTGGAAACAGGGTTGGTTGAAGCGAGGTTTGGAAACAGGGTTGGATGAAGCGAGGTTTGGAAACAGGGTTGGTTGAAGCGAGGTTTGGAAACAGGGTTGGATGAAGCGAGGTTTGGAAACAGGGTTGGTTGAAGCGAGGTTTGGAAACAGGGTTGGGTGAAGCGAGGTTTGGAAACAGGGTTGGATGGAGCGAGGTTTGGAAACAGGGTTGAGGTTTGGGACCGGGTTGGGTAGAGTGAGGTTTGGAGACAGGGTTGGGTGAAGCAAAGTTTGACGAGACGGTTGAGCCCCACGAGACGGTTGATACGCCTCACAGACACTCCCGAGGAATGACTCACACACGTATCTCAACTCCCGAGAAAGTTTTCACTGAGATTATTACACATTGCGTTTCTCACCTCATCCATGTCAGCGGGCGGCAGCACGCGGTGCTTGATCTGATCCATTTGCCCCTCGAACAGCACGCGGTGCTGCTTCTCCGCCAGCGAGGCTGCCACGCTGGCTAGGATCTGCACGGCTGGCAGGTGCAGGATCACCTCGAATGCCAGGTCAAATTGTCTCCCAAAAGAAACTCTGTAACCTCCTCACGTCGTCTGTCAGTGGGGGATAGGGAAGAGGGGCAACCAGAGTATCGGTCAGCAGATGCAAGCTGGCGTGGATCTGCTTGGCTGGCAGGTGCAGGGAGTTGATCACCTCCAGCGCCAGGTCGAATTCGGTCACCAGGAACTTGGTCACTTCAACACGCCGCCTATCATTAGGTGAGGAGTATAGGGAGAGGAATATTGCGCTTCGGCTGGTAGTTGGATACGCACGACTGCAAACAACCGCTGCAGCCGATACAGGCGAGAAATACACACCTTCCCACAAACCCGCATGCACACAGTCTCCCCAAAAAACACTCACGAGCTGGTTCTGCCGTCACTGGGAGCACCGAAGAGAGCCACGCTCCACGGGGGGCCTTCCTGGCAGCCCCCACCAGAGGCACGCCGCTGATGTCCCTCCTACTGCACACCCCCACCACCCTCACACACTCCCTCAAACCCTCTCCCAAACACGCACTTACTTGCTGGTCCGGCCATCACTGGGAGCACCAAACAGCGCCACACTCCAAGACACCTTCCTGGCAGCCCCCACCAGACCAGAGGCGCGCCGCTGCCCTCCCTCCCACTGCACGTCCCCACCACCCGCACCACCTCCACCTGCACCTCTACCAACCGCTGCAGCCGGAAAAAGATCCTCGTCCGAGATCTTTGCTGTCGCCGCCCGCTGCTTGCTTATTAATGCCAGGCTGGCAGGGCAGCTGTGCTGGCAGCAGTGCTGCTGCTTCTGCTGCTGTTAGTGCTGCTTCTGGTGTTGCTGCAACTGCCACCACCGCTGCTGGCACCTGCTGCTCCAGATATACCTACTCCTCCTGCAGCAGCTACGCCTGCCCCAGTACCACCTGCACCAGTACCACCTGCACCAGTACCACCTGCACCAGTACCACCTGCACCAGTACCACCTGCACCAGTACCACCTGCACCAGTACCACTTGCACCAGTACCACCTGCACCAGTACCACCTGCACCAGAAGTGCCAGCAGCAGCAGAGGAAGAGGAAGTGGCAGAGAAGATGAGTCTCTTGCCGGCAGCAAGAGGGCCGACCAACGCTGCCAGGTCTGCTGCTGCATTCTGTCTAGCCTCCGATCCTTTTCCAACGAGCAGCTGAAGAAAGGGGTGGGTGGAACGGGACGCACGGGGCGTGTGGGAGGAACTGATGCAATAGCTCAAACCCACCTGTGCCTGCTGCAGGTGTGTTGCTGCGGTGCGAAGATCGGTCGAGTAAAGACTGATGCAGGGAGAAGAAGGGGGCCGATTGGAGGGGGTGAGAGTGGCGGGGAAAGGAGGAGGAGGCAAGCTGTGGGATTGACAAGGAAGAGCTGGATGCTTCAGAACCCGGCTGACAAGTGAGAGAGGAAGACGAGGGGAGGATGGAGCGGGGAGAGCGTGGCGGGAAGAAGGCGCGAACAGCTGCGTATGACAAGCATGGCTTGAGTGCTGCAGAGACCTGCTGCCACGTAGTCTCTGCTCTGGCTAACAGCAAATAGAGACAGAGGAGGAGAGGAAAGTGAGCACGGAAGATTGGACTTGAAGGCCAGTAGCTACCGAAATTAACATGCAAAACTTGATTGCTGCACAGCCCTGCTGCCACATAGTCTTTGGCTAACAGCTGACGGAGAGAGCGCAAAGCGGAAAGATGGAGGGGACAAAGGAAGAACAGAAAATATCCATTTAACAAGAGAAGGGTTCAATGCTGCTACCACATAGTCGTTGGCTAGCAGTGATGGAGAGAAAAGACGGGGGGGGATGATGGACTGTGGAGGGGTTGATTGAGAGCGGAGGGGGAAGGAGAAGGAGGTATTGGGAGCGGAGGGGGATTGACAAGGAAGAGCTGGATGCTGCACTGCCCTGCTGTCGGGATAACAACTGATGGAATGAGGGGATGAGTGGCGGTTAATGTCAAGTGCCTGGCGGCTCTCACGATAGCGATGAGCGATAGCGATCACGTCTGGACATGAACGGGAGGAGATCCTGAGGGGCATGCTGCAGGGGAGAAAGAAGGGCAGATCGCAAGACAAGACAAGGCAGGCAGGTATGAGTGTTGGAGAGATGAACAGTACCCAAGCTGCTTGGGTAATCAATCAGGTCGGACTTTGTTCAAGACTTTGAAGCAGGTGCCACAGAAGAGCAACTCAGAGTACAAGACACCTGAGTTGCTAAACAAGATCAACCAAGTCCTAGACCACAGGCATGCAGAAACACAACACGATGGAAAAACGATGGGAAGAAGAAAAATCGAAGTCACCTACCCTCTTGAGCAGCTGAGTGCACATGCTAAACCTCTCATTATCCAATTACGAAAACGCCTCCCTCTCCTCATGCCTACTCTCCCCGCCCCTACTCTCCCCGTCCCTACTCTCTCCGTCCCTACTCTCTCCGTCCCTACTCTCCTCGTTCCTACTCTTCCCGTCCCTATACTCCCCGTCCCTACTCTCCCCGTCCCTACTCTCCCCGTCCCTCCTCTCCCTGTCCCTACTCTCCCCGTCCCTATTCTCTTCTTCCCGTCCCTACTTTCCCCGTCCCTATTCTCCCTGTCCCTACGCTTTCCGTCCCAACTCTCCCCGTCCCTTCTCTCAACGTCACTTCTCCCCCGTCCCTACTCTCCCCGTCCCTTCTCTCCCCGTCCCTACTCTCCCCGTCCCTAACCTCTCCGTCCCTACTCTCACCGTCCCTAATCTCCCCGTCCCAACTGTCCCCGTCCCTTCTCTCCCCGTCCCTTCTCTCCCCGTCCCTACTCTCCCCGTCCCTACTCTCCCCGTCCCTACTCTCTCCGTCCCTACTCTCCCCGTCCCTACTCTCCCCGTCCCTACTCTCCCCGTCCCTATTCTCTTCTCCCCGTCCCTACTCTCTCCGTCCCTACTCTCCCCGTCCCTACTCTCCCCGTACCTACTCTCGTCGTGCATACTTCCATCGTCCCTATTTCCGCCTGCCTATTTCCCGTCCCTATTTCCGAACGCCTATTTCCCCTATTTCCGCCTGCCTATTTCCCGTCCCTATTTCCGCCTGCCTATTTCCCGTCCCTATTTCCGCCTGCCTATTTCCCGTCCCTATTTCCGCCTGCTATTTCCCGTAGCACCTCGCGTCACGCCGTGCCACCGTCCCGCGAAACCCTCCACCAGTGGTGGGGCCGCCACGGTGCTCGCGCGAGAATGCGCGTATCTCACCCGCCTCGTCACACGCGCACCTGCCGCTTCAGTTCCGCCCAGGCGGCTGCAGGCGCGCCTGGCGGAAGGGCGGTGGGCGCACGCCAGGCGAGGCGAGCAGCACCCGACGAGCACCGCGCGACGCCGCTGCCACCGTGACTGGCCAAGAAACTGGCCAAGTCTATCGTAACTACTTCTAACCTTGTTGCTGGTTCTTCAATAAAAAAACGCGCTGCCTGCTGTTCCCCATGTCATTTGCGATCCGCTGCCGTGCTCGCCATGAGCGTAAAGCTACCCCTTAGGAGCGGGCTCACTATTGCGGATAGTGCGCGGAATTAGTGAATTTCGGAATGGAATTACAAAGAGAGTGACGATACAATTGAAATGATGGGATGATTTAGGGGAAACCCTAGCTAGGCGAAACCACGGGACGACGAGGCTCGGAAGTGGCGAAAAGTGCGGGGCGACTCGGGGGTGGTTTGGGGCGAGTTTGAAAGCCGAACCAGCTAACACGAACTTATCGGTACAGTCTTCCCTAATGTAAGGAGTTTTCTCGGCATTCCTTACGGAGCCCGACTACATCGCGTACACCAACAGCCGTTGTTCGCCCGTTACTGCTAACGGGGCTTCGCCGACTTCGCGCGCACTGTTTTGTCAAACTCATATGATCTAGCCTGTGTAGGCTGTAGCGGGTTAGATACTAAGGGGTACACAATTCTAGGGTTTCATATTTGTATCACTTTCATTCCTTTGTTCATTCATTCTCGTTCTAAGTTTCTCATGGTATCGAGCAGGTTCCCCAGTGGGAACTGTCCTAGGGCCCACCAAGATCGATTTTTTTTTTTTTTTTCTGCCCGAGGTGCGCCTAGTGTTCCCTCCTTAGCGGCCCCGTCGCGCACTCCTTAGCGGCCCCGTCGCGCCCTCCTTAGCGGCCCGTCGCGCCGCCCTTAGCGGCCCCGTCGCCGCCTCTGCCGGCCTCGTTGCCGCCCTTGACGGCCCAGTCGCCGCCCCTACCGGCCTCGTTGCCGCCCTTGACGGCCCCGTCGCCGCCCCTTCCGGCCCCGTCGCCGTCCTTCCGCGGCCCCGTCGCCGCCTCCCCCTTTCAGCGGCCCCGTCGCTGCCCTTTCAGCGGCCCCGTCGCCGCCCTTTCAGCGGCCCCGTCGCCGCCCTTTCAGCGGCCCCGTCGCCGCCCTCTCAGCGGCCCCGTCGCCGCCCTTTCAGCGGCCCCGTCGCCGCCTCTTAGCGGCTTCGTCGCCGCCCTTCAGTGGCCCCTTCGCCGCCCTTTCAGCGGCCCCGTCGCCGCCTCTTAGCGGCTTCGTCGCCGCCCTTCAGCGGCCCAGTCGCCGCCCTTTTGAGCGGCCCCGTCGCCGCCTCTTAGCGGCTTCGTCGCCGCCCTTCAGCGGCCCCGTCGCCGCCCTTCAGCGGCCGTGTCGCCGCCCCTTTCCGCGGCCCCGTCGCTGCCCCTTTCCGCGGCCCCGTCGCCGCCCCTACTCGGCCTCATCGCCGCCCCTTTTGGCGGCCTCGTCGCCGCCCTTCAGCGGCCCCGTCGCCGCTCCTTCGCGGCAGCGACGCCGCCCTTCACGGCCCCGCCGAGCCGCCTTCGCTGCCGAGCCGCTGAGCCGCCGAGCCGCCTTTGCCGCCGGGCCGCCGAGCCGCCGAGCCACCGAGCCGCCGAGCCGCCGGGCCGCCGCAGCCGAGACGCTGCCGTCACTGCAGTAGCGGCCCTGTCCCTGCCGGCCTGCCCCGGACCGCCTCACTTGCCTGGTAAGCGCAACGCCTCTGCCACTGCACTGCCCTACCCCGCTGTACTCACTGCCTGTCTGCTGCTGTCATGGCCACCCCCAGTGTTCTCACCTTTGACGCTGAGGGTCGGGCTGTTGACTTTGAGGTCTGGGTAGATGATCTGCAGCTTTTCCTACAGTGCGATAGGGCAGACGGTCTCTCCCTGTTTGACCTCACTTCTGGTGCCTCTCCTGCCCCTGCTGCCGATGCTGACGCCAGTGTTCGCTCACAGTGGGCCACGCGCGATGCTGCTGCCCGCCTTGCTGTGCGCCGCCACTTACCGACCGCTGAGCGCGCGCATTTTAGTCAGTACAAGAGTGCTAAGACCTTGTACGACGCTGTAGTTGCACGCTACTCTTCCCCTGCCACTGCTGCTCTTAGCCGCCTCATACTGCCGTTCCTCTTCCCTGACCTCGCCGCATTTCCCACAGTCGCTGACCTCATTACACACCTTCGCACTAGTGACATTCGCTACTGCGCTGCGCTTCCTGCTGAGTTCTGCGCCAAGAACCCCCCCCCTATGTACATCACCCTTTACTACATAGTCACCCGGCTCCCTGACACTCTTCGCTCGGTCAGGGACCACTTCCTCTCTGTTTGCCCCACCACTCTCACCGTTGACCTCCTCGAGGAGCGCCTCCTAGCAGCAGAGAAGAGTATAGTCGCTGTAGGAGCCTCTCGTGGTGACCCTCGTACCCCTGTCTTTGAGGGGTGCTCCCCCTCCCCCCTCTTGCCCTCTGTTGCCTCTGCTGCTGCGGCCGACCTCGTTGGTCTTGAGTCGGTCGGCGCGACGTCTGCCCCTAGCGGGAGACCCCGCTCAGGCAAGGGCAAGGGGGGCAAGGGCGCTGGAGGAGCTGGAGGGGGCGGTGGAGGCGGCGGTGGAGGCGGAGGAGGGGGTGGGGGTGGCGGTGGGAGTGGTGGCGGGGGTGGGGGCGCTAGTGGCGGCAGTGGAGGCGGAGGAGGCGGCGGTGGTGGCGGTGCGGGCGGAGGTGGCGGAGGTGGAGGCGGTGGTGGAGGTAGCGGCGGCGGAGGTGGAGCTGGTCGGGGCGGCGCTACGCAGAGGGTCGGCTCCGGTGGTGGTCAGCGCCAGCAGCAGCAGCAGCAGCGCACTCGTGAGACCCCTTCCCCCCAGCAGCTTCGTGAGTGGTACACTGCTCGTCAGCGGGGTGGGGGTGCTGGCCCCTGTACCTACGTTCTACGTACCGGCGACCGCGCGGGTGAGCAGTGTGGGGGTCCGCACTCCACCCAGCGCTGCTTCGGCCGCCTGACGGACGCTTGGCGTCATCAGTTCCCTGACGCTACTGAGATCCCTCGCTGGGGCGAGCTGTTTAGGGCGGGTGTTCCGATCTTTGATCTTGACTATGATGCTATTCTTGCTGCCATGTATGCTGCGACTAATAGTGATGAGGGTGACTGTTACCGGTGTTTTCCGCCTGACCCGGGCATTGAGGCTGCTGCTCTAGGTGCTGGTGAGGCTGCTTCTCTAGGTGCCAGTGAGCCTGCTGCCCCAGGTGCTGGTGAGTCTGCGCTCTCAGGTACCGCGTCGGCTCCGGCCACCCACACCTTCACCCTTGACTCGGGTGCTTCCCGCTCCTTTTTTCGAGACCACACCATGCTTACGCCGCTTAGTCGGCCAGTGGCAGTCTCCCTGGCAGACACCTCTGGGGGTCCTGTCCTTGCCCACTTCTCCACTGTTCTACCGTGTCCGGCGGCCCCTTCTGGCACCCTGTCGGGTCTTTACCTCCCCTCGTTCTCTACGAACTTGGTGAGTGGTGCTGACCTCCAGGATGGAGGGGTTCACCAGTTCACTCCTGCGAGTCAGCGAGTGACCCACTGTACCTGTGCTCGGACGGGCCGTCACTTGGCCACGTTTAACCGTCAGCCGGGGTCGAGCCTGTACACACTGACTACTGAGTCTCCTCCGGTCGCTGAGTCTGCTCAGGTAGCCGCGTCAGGTCAGGTGTTTGCTGCGGCGTCCAGGTCTGGTCCTGAGTCCCTGCTCGTGTCGTCTCCTGTCTCACCAGACTCTCCTCTGGCACCACCGCCTTGGTCACCCCTCCCTGCCTCGTCTTTGAGGCATGGCCTCCCGTGTCCTTGTCTCTGGTCTCCCCCGGTCCCTCCCTCCCCTTCCTCCGGGGCCTGCCCCCACCTGCGTTCCCTGCGTCGAGGGGCGGCAGCGCGCTGCTCCTCACTCCTCCGAGTTTCCTCCGACAGAGGCTCCGCTGCAGACGCTTCACATGGACGTGTGGGGCCCAGCCCGCGTCCGTGGACAGGGTCACGAGCGTTACTTCCTGCTGGTGGTTGACGACTACTCGCGTTACACCGCAGTCTTCCCCTTGCGCAGCAAGGGTGAGGTCACTGAGGTGTTGATTGCCTGGATCCGCGCAGCTCGTCTCCAGCTCAGAGAGAGTTTCGGCTCGGACTTTCCTGTTCTGCGTCTGCACTCTGACAGAGGCGGAGAGTTCTCCTCTGACCTTCTGCGAGCCTTCTGTCGTGCACGAGGCATCCGCCAGACCTTCACGCTTCCGGACTCTCCGCAGCAAAATGGGATTGCTGAGTGCCGCATTGGCATGGTCATGGACGTCGCTCGTACGTCCATGGTCCACGCGGCTGCCCCCCATTTTCTGTGGCCGTTTGCGGTTCGGTACGCGGCGCATCAGATCCACCTTCAGCCCAGGGTCTCCATGCCGGAGACCTCCCCAGCTTTGCTGTGGACGGGGAAGGTTGGCGATGCGTCTGCGTTCCGTGTCTGGGGATCTCGGGCGTTTGTTCGCGACTTGTCTGCGGACAAGCTGTCCCCTCGTGCTGTTCCCTGCGTCTTCCTTGGCTTCCCCCCTGACGCGCCGGGCTGGCAGTTCTACCACCCCACCTCGCGCCGTGTTCTGTCCTCCCAGGACGTCACGTTTGACGAGTCGGTTCCCTACTACCGTCTCTTCCCCTACCGCACTGCGTCCCTCCCCCCCCCGCCGCTCTTCCTTACGCCAGGTCCCCCTCCGGTAGACCCCCTCCCCCCTCAGGGTCCTGCCCCCTCAGGTGTGTCTCAGGTAGACGCAGTCGACCCTGTCGAGGTAGCTGTTGACTCTGGTGCTGCTAGGGGTGCTGAGCCTGCGGGTGCTGGGTCTGGGGGTGCTGACTCTGGGGGTGCTGGGCCTGGGGGTGCTGACTCTGAGGGTGCTGCGCCTGGGGGTGCTGAGCCTGGGGGTGCTTACTCTGGGGGTGCTGCGCCTGGGGGTGCTGAGCCTGGGGGTGCTACGCCTGGGGGTGCTGCGTCTGGGGGTGCTGAGCCTGGGGGTGCTGCATCTGGGGGTGCGGAGTCTGAGGGTACTGGACCTGCTCGTGTGGCGTCTGGCGGTGCTGGGCCTGGAGGTTCTTCGGGT